AGAATCTTAGCTTGAAAAAAAATTACAATATTAGATCTACTAAGCAAAATCTTGGCTTGAAATAATTATTCAATGTGTGCTTTTTACCACGCTCCAACCTTTGGGGCACTAGAAGTTGAAGGTAACAAAATCAAATGTGAAGACTGCAGCAGTCAAATTCATCAAAGCGTATTGCTGTTGTATAAAATCATTTTCTTATCATAGATGATATAAATTTAAGATGAACTATATCGAGAAATGAAACGAAGATAGTTAACATAGCCTTTTTTTTTATGTTGATCGGTCCCAGTGTGTACGTCTACTTTACTTACTTTAATGTCGTCTGTCTGTCCATTAGTTCCTTGTACACTTTAAAAACTAGAACAGGTATTGAAAATCTGAATATCATTATATTTTAGATCTTTCGAAATTCAGATGCAATGGTTACTTTTTTCTTTTCTGAATGCGAGAAGTTTTAGCTTTTAAAATTAACTATGCAAGAGTTGTTTTTGTTTTGTTTAAATAAACATACGCTATTTTTTAAACTATTCATTATTAAAAAAATCAGGGGTGACTACAATAACAAGGGCTCCAGTGTCAGCTGGTTGTGCCTGGGCCTGACTCTGTGGCATTTTACGTCTCGAGAGACGATCTTTTCCCTTTGCAACTTCTTGTGTGACTAAAGAGGCCAATCCTTGATACACAGCTGCGATCGCAGGTTGGGCATATATAATCACCAGGCGCCGTTTCATTTTCACCCTTCTTTCTGCTTCTGTTGTGTATGACATCTGCAATCTTTGACCCTTCCTTTATGCTCTCTCTCCATGAGGATCTGTCCAGTGCCACCTCTTCCCAGTTGCCAGTGTCGATTTTGAAGAGCTTCATGTCACGTTTGCATACATCCGTATAACGTAAAAGTGGGCGACCAGCGGCTCTCCTGCCTTCTATTAGATCGCCATACAGGATGTCCTGTGGAAGTCGACCCACCGGCATTCTACGAACGTGGCCAAGCCAGCCAAGGCGTCTGCTGCTGATAACAGAGCGGATGTCCTGGCACCCTGCTCTTTGTAGCACTTCCTCATTGGTTATCTTATCTTGCCACCTTTTTTTAAAGATCCGCCTTAGGCATCGGAGGTGGAAAACATTCAGCTTTTTTTCCTGCCATGAGTAGGTTGACCATGTTTCACTTCCGAACAGCAAGGTGCTCAACACACAGGTCCGGTAGACTAGGGCTTTAGTACTGCTAGTGAGCAATATATTGTCCCAGACTCTTTTCTGCAGCCGTGATATGGTGGCCATTGCCTTGGCTATCCTGTTGTTTATGTCTTTATCCAGTAGAGTGTTGTTGGATATGATGGAGCCAAGGTAACAAAAGTGATCAACAGTTTCTAGTGGTTGGCCATTAATGCTTACTTGAGGTGCAGTGTTTGTGTTTTGGACAAGTATCTTAGTCTTGCTTTGACTGATGTTTAAGCCGAACTTCTAGCAACCAGCAGATAGTTTGTCAACCAGGCACTGTAGCTGAATATCAGAATCAGCCACAATAGCTGCATCATCAGCATACAGGAGTTCCCTGACAAGTAGCTTCCTAACCTTGGTTGTTGCCCGCAGCCTTGATACATTAAATAGTTTTCCAGAGGATCTTGTATGGAGAAACACACCTTCGTTTATGTCGTTGTACGCATAATGCAGTAGACAGGAGAAGAATATGCCAAACAGAGTAGGTGCGAGCACACATCCCTGCTTGACACCACTGCAAACCTCAAAGGGTGATGACTGGGCTCCATTGAATTTGACAGTGCATTTAGTTTCCTCGTGAAAACACTCAATGAACTGCAGTAGATTGGGAGGGCAACCTATTTTCCTCAGGAGTTTGAAAAGGCCACTTATCTGACCATGTCAAAAGCTTTAGTCAGATCAACAAAAACGATGTAAAGGGGTCTGTCTCTCTCTCTGAATTTCTCCTGCAGTAGTCGTAGAGAAGATATCATGTCTATGGTGGATCTACCATTCCTGAATCCACACTGAGACTCTGGGTAGACTCTAAAAGCTTTCACTTGCAGCCTGGATAGTGCCACTCTAGCAAAGATATTGCCCACTATACTGAGGAGAGAAATACCCCTGTAATTGTTGCAGTCACTCCGATCCCCTTTGTTCTTGTATATTGTGACTATAGTTGCGTCACGCATGTCCTGTGGGACATGACCTGTTTCCCAACAGCGGCAGAGGAGAATATAGAGTTCAGGGAGCAGGAGTGATTCGTTGACTTTTACTACTTCCACTGGGATACCATCACTTCCAGGAGATTTTCTATTTTTTATGCATTTAATTAGTTTTTTAATTTCACTAAGGCTCGGAAGATCACCTAGGCATTCCAGTACTGGAAGATCTGGTAGAGAAGCCAGGGCGACATCGTCTACTGTATTCTGTGTGGCATAGACTTCGAGGTAGTGTTCTGTCCATCGTTCTAGCTGCTTGGTTTGATCTGTAATTTTTTCTCCTGATTTGGATAGAAGGGGGGCAGGCTTAGACACTGTTGGGCCCAGGGCCGCTTTAATGCCATCAAATAGAGCCTTGCTATTTCCTGAGTGGAGACTGTCTTGGATTCTGTTGCAGGTATCCCTCCAAAAGTTTTTAGCACATTTTCTAGCCATTTGTTTCGCCTCTTTATTAGCACTTTTGAAGGCCTCTAAAGATCTTGGACTTGGCTTTGTCTTGTGAGCGAGGTGTGCAGAGATCGCTTTTTCTCGATGCAAGGTTCCATATGTGCTAGATTCGCCTTAAACCAGTCAACATTTTTGTGTTTTTGAGGCCCAAAGGCGGTGATTGCCGAACTGTAGATTACATCTCTTAATTTCTCCCATCTGATAGAGATGTCTTCTTCATCACTTAACGAGGGGATTGAACTGTTCAGGAGCTCGCCAAAGAGTGCACACTTCTCTGGGTCACCTACATGGTTGACGTTAATTCGCCTAGTTCTGGGTTGAGTGGAAGTATAAGCCTTCTTGAGAAGTACTTTGATTTTGCTTAGCACTAGGGAATAGTCTGAGTTGCAGTCCGCACTATGGTATGAATGGGTGTGGATGACACTTTTCAGATCCATCCTTCGGGTGATGCAGAGGTCAAGCTGGTGCCACCTTTTTGAGCGTGGGTGCTGCCAAGAGACTTTATGGCGTTCCTTGCCAGAGAAGAATGTATTTGTTACACACAGTTCATGAGCTACAGAACTCAAGTAGCCTTTGGCCATTGTCATTGATTTTGCCAACACCATGAGGTCCCAAGCATTGTGGCCATGCATCATTTCCATAACCAACACGGGCATTAAAGTCTCCATTTATATAGAGGTGCTCGGATTTTGGAATACTTTTAATTACGTCCTCTAGAGCTTGAAAGAATCTGTCTTTGTCCTCTTCCGGTGCAGCAAGGGTTGGTGAGTAAGCACAGATTATATTAACTTTGCCTTGCAGTGATGCAAATTTCATGTGTGCTACTCTTTCATTGCCAATGGGAAACATCGCGATGCAGGGGACGAGACTTTCTTATTGCGAAGCCGACGCCATGTATTCTAGGGCTTTGTTCTGGTTTTCCTTGCCAGTAGAATGTATAGTTGCTTTCTGTAAGAGATCCACTGTCTGCCAGTCTGGTTTCTTGCAGGCAGGCCACATCAATGTTTAGTCTGCTGAGTTCTCTGTCGATGATAGCTGTTTGACGCATGTCTGTGACGAGTTCAGGGTCAGTATTGAAGCCAGGACACATTGTCCGTATGTTCCAGCTAGCTAAACGCATTAATGTTGAGGGTTTTCTTTTGGTTGTATTTGCAGGTGCGGGTGAGCAGCTTGCTTTTTGATTTTGTCTTAGCACCAAGCACCCAGTGGTGCGGCAAGCTGTGGCGGGATAGCACTTTATTGTCCGAGGGCTGCTCGGCTTAAGGCAGGCAGTAGCTATCCAGTGAGGCTAAAAAGCCCCTCCTACCGTCAAGAGTGGTCCCTAGCGTTCCAGCTTACGCCAATCAGCTAGGAACTTATCACCGGTAACTACCACTCTCCGTGTTTTTCCAAAGACATTACTGTGAGAGATGGAGTGACCTCTCCATTGCTGGGGGAAAGCCTGGGCGGTAAATTTGCGAGTGCTGGGCTGCCCACACGTCAGCACGCGCCTCTCTTCCATACTGACCGGATCCAAAGGGATGGCGAGCCATCCCAATTTGGGGACAGGTGGCTGCAGGAGTTTGCCAGAGAGCAGTAGTCTTACTACTGTCCCCCCGCCTACGGGGCTCCAGGACCGGATTTTCTGTTAGGGTTTACTCCCTTAGCCCTTACAGGGACACACACACAAAGCAGTGCGGCTATTGACCTATAGCTAGGGGTTTGGTATGTGGGCACCAGGGCGTGTCCGCACGCCGACGGGCCATGCCTGCCTCACATCTTGGGGCCAAACCTCCTCCGAGACCCTTGCAGTTTAGCCTGAGGATTCGCAGCCTCAGTTTCCATCTGCCACCACGAGGAGGTACTGCATAAGACTTGCTGTGGAGAGGCTATGTACTGGCAAGAGAGACTTACAAAATTGCTCCCTTCACAGATGCTAGCCAGCGGTGGCAACAAGTCAAGCTACCACACTAGACGCTTCACACAGCCATTAGACAGAGAACAAATAATCGCCAAATTAAACATAATGGGAGTCACTTTTTCGTGCCATTATATATAATAGAGGTGTGTATTTGATGTGGACCCTTTTTTCATGAATTATTGCATTTATTTCATTTCTGTTAACGTTAGCCTTTGTTTAGTTGTAGAAATATAATCCACAACAAAACTTATTGCGACAATCATGTCATCAATGTACCTTCGAACATAAATTGATTTTTATTCCCACTGACCAGCACATTTGTTTACGCATGTCTTCAAGGTCTTCACTACAAACTAACTCCTAACCTTTAATTTTATATTAAACATTTAAACAAACTCAAACATTGTGTTTACAAACAAGAAAGTCCAATGATTTAAAGTATTACAAAAGTAACATTTTTATTTTTTTCATTATCACAAAAGGAATGCTTGAAATGAAGAAAACAGGAGACAAAAACCCCATGATTCAACTACTTCACCTGTTTTATTCCCAATATTTTACAGACTATTGTTTCTTCTTTTTTTTTTCATGTAAGTAAACATACCGACAATACCATAGAAATAATATAACAGAGCAATATCTGTATACCTCTTTTCATATCAACAATATATTAAATATCAACAACTAAGTAGCAATGAAGCTAATGGAGATTGTGAGCTGATGACTTCATTATTATTAAATGTAAATCTTTAAACATACAAAACATATTAAGTCATACAAAAAGGCTAACTAAGAAGATGTACAATGAAACAATTTGTCATAACTTAATAAAAAAGACAATTAATCAAATCACAGAATAAGATAATGATAACTTTTAATTCTCTTACTCTCTCAACATATTTACCTCCCTTAGAGCCCAGCACAATTAAGTCTATACACAAACACACACAGCTTGAAGCCACAGGGAACAAACAAAATTCATGTCTATTAGACTAATTAAATGACACTAGTATCTATAAGGTATAGAGCAGAATTTATAAGGACATGGATCTACATAGTAATTATGAAGCATAACAAAAGTATTAGTCTTGTGCTAACCTTCGATTCCAGAAAAAGATGGAGTAATTTGTTATTTAAAAACAAAGCTATTTAAATCTTAAAAATAATTTTCAAATTGGAATAAAAATGTTTACTATATAATTAATAACATGTAATTAAACTAATGAGTACAAACAATAGTTCATTACTGCACATCTTCCTTCAGACATTTTAGAGCCAAATTAAAAAAGAATGAACAGTACCCACAGAATTTAATAGGTACATAAAAAAAAAGTCCAATAAATAAAATCTGTTTTTAAAATATTAATTAGTATTTAACCTTGTATTATAAAGCAGGCTATTTATGCTGAGATTCTTGTTTTAATGCCATAATTGAAACACATTGTTTACCTTAAAAATAATATTTTTAATAAATATTTCATTGATGTGATAAAAATCTAGAAAACCAGAGCTAATGTATTTTTAAATAAATGTACATTTAAAACCCAACAAAAATTAAGAAAACAAAATAAAGAAGCTAATGGATCTAGAAATAAGGATTTACAACATAAGTGTATCAAATATTTATAGAAACAATTTTTGAATAAAATACTAACAATAATTTTTAAAATGATTTAAACAATTAATTTGATTTTCATAACATTTTATCAAACAATAAAATCTATTACAAACAAATAAGAGAGATTGCATTGGCTGTGAGATTTAACTTGTTTTTTAAATTTAAAAATGTATAAACCCAACAAAACCCAATAAACCAATTTCTAACAAACTGATAATAGATGTCATATATCACTAGAACTATTCTCTTCAATTCCTATTCTGATAACTTCTTCCTTAATCTTGGCATATGGCAAGGGGTCATCATCAGGAAGGCAAGCATCTGCAATGATTCCGTCCACCTCTTCCTCTGTCATTCTGTTGTAGCCTGCCTCCTCTGATAGCCAGAAAAAAAATGTCAAAGTTACAACTGGACATTAATTTTATTTATTGTATAAAATCATGTTTCTAGTGCTATGGTGCTAGTCAGCAAAGGAACTAGCAGTATATTGAAATGTGAATATCATACAAAATCTATCAAAAATAAGTAATAAATATGACCACTTGAAAGTTTCAAAATATGCTTTGGCCTTTAACTGAATACATCTTCATGTCTGAAATTTTTTAGGAGTTAATTTTTAATTTAATCTTGATCAGATAAAGTTCTGCCAAGCTTTTTACTGGTCCATCAAACAAAAACAATCTCGTAAAAAAATATTTATTTTGGACAATAATTCATAGTTTTGTTTATTACAGCATAAATTAACTCAAAATAATGAAGTTGCTTCCCTCAATTAGTAGAAATAATCTAAGGTGGTTTATGAATAAAATAAAATAGGTTATCCTCATTCAACCCAACAGTTGAAGTCCTGGCAAAAAAAAAAAAAAAAAATATGTGGCCAAGAGGCTAGTTAGGCTTGAGCTTGGCTTGGCTACTTATCAAGGGGGCTCGAGGCTCAACACCCAACTTAAGCAGAGTTGTATTTACTGAGCACCTCAAGGCAGCAAGGAAATCCTTCTCCCAGATAATCCCCCCCCCCCCCACTCCACTAGTCAATAAATGTTATTGGACCATAGCTCAATGAGAATGCTATAAGCTATATAAAAGCTTTAAAAAAAAGACAAAAGCTGTCTTTTGCACTATGTAAACTAAAAAAATATGAAATGATATCTAAAAATGTGACATTTCTAAAGCTTCAAACAAAACATAAGATTAAAGAGTAAACTTTAATTGCTTTACAAATAAGCAATCTATGGCGGCTATGTTTCTGAGGTTAACAATTATTAAGCAAGGTATGAAAGGTTAGCTTTAAATTCATAAATATTGTTCATTTGCTGATGTTCAAGTTAGATGGTTACAACAATAACTGAAGTATTTCAATCCTAGCATACCACATCCCCTTTTTAAAAATCATAAATTGTATTTATGTGAAACAAGAAATCAATATTTTTTATGGACATATCCAAAAAGGTGAGCTGGTTTGGTCATATTGTAAGACATATTCACTTTCAAAAGTCATCTATCAAGGTACAGTGGAGGGAGCAAGAAGAATGGGTCATCCAAAGAAAAGCTGGCTGGACAATGTAAAAGAATGTACCGGCATCTCTCTTGATATCATACTAAGAACAGCTGCTGACTAGGAAAAATGGATGGATTTGTTTACGCGAATGGTCACAGCACCCCTATGACAAAAGTCAAGGAACAAATGAGATATCCTAAAAGCTGAATTATTGAATGTCATGTGTTGGTATAACTGGGGTAAGGTATATTACAATATCTCTAGCATAAAATCCAATTGGACAGAAAACAAAGCTTCTTTAGAGTTGGTGAGAAAGAAAGAGGACAAAAGTGAAGAGTTACAAATAGTAGGTGATGGCTGCCATTCACAATGCACTGGCCTGCAATAAATTGGTCACCTACCTTTGATTGGAAGATGACCACCGAGTTCTATACATGCAACATTGAATTCATCACAGGATTTCTTGCCTAATTGACAACAATGAATGTAAAAAAAAAGTTAGTGAAATGACATGACTTTTTAAAGCACAGGAAAGAAGATAATACACAAGATCTATATCCAAAGAGTTAAATATCTTTGGTGATAATATATTTTTCTTGACTTCTCATTCCACATATTGCCACTTACTATTCCAACTTTACAACTTAAGTTTATTAAGTTTACAGACCAAGACTAAAGTTGATTGTCCAGTACATTTTTCTGCAGTCACTGCTCATATTAGTTCATACAGTTTGAGCAAGTCACTGCTTCAGATACCTAACAACTTTTTAAAACTTTATTTTAAACACTCTTTGCTGTGTTGTCTAAATACAAGTACACATTTTTGTCAATTAATGCTCAAGTGAAAAATAACTGATGACAAACATCTCAAAGAACGCAAACAATACCCAGTAAATCTATGAAAAATAATCATCAAGGTAATAGCTGCTTAAATCCATTCTGCTTCAATAAGATTAGTCTACATTATTCTTTTTTTGAACATTATTTGAACATTGATGCTGTAAATTTTTAATGCCAGTACAATGCAATGACAAGTAATAAATTACTCAGTGCATCAGAAATCATTTATTTATGTTCCAGTTAAGGCTTGTATAATTTTCATAAATGTTTGAGAAAGTTGCTATCAAACTATGTCAATTGTATTTTTATTTTTTAAGTCAACATGAGGGGTCCATTAACCTACAGAGTTGAACTCAAATGCTATGATAAACAAAATTTACTTCTTAAAGACAAAAAAAATAATAAAAAAGAGACTATATATTCAAAGAAAAATTAAGAAGCGATGACACACCAATTCCATTCTTTAAATGACAAAGAAACTGGAAATAAAAACAAAATAAACATAAGAAAAGCAAAATACCACATCAACATTACTACTTCAACAATATTAACCTATTACATACTGGCTAGGCCAGTACATCTTTAAATATCAATCAATAATGAACACAAACATAATAAATCCAAAGCATTCTTATACAGTATGGGAAAAAAAAAGGCTATAAATACAAATAAGATAGCCAATGGCATAATAATTGTTATCTATATTGCTTTTCTTTTCTATCTGCACTATCTTTAGCAACTCTATTTTTTTTTGTTAACAATCTGTTTTCTTGAAGAAAACAAAAACATCAATTTACAATAACATCTTTAACTTGTAAATTGTTTTTGCTGATTTATACTTTACAATTATTCCGAAAATTGAAGAAAAGCTTACAGTGCAACAACAACCAATAGATGAAAAACAGTCACTAGAAAATTAAAACCAAGAAGAGGAAAGTAATAAAGACCAAATTCTGTTTTTCCCAATGTCAGGTAAAGAGTAACATTCTAGGCATTAGTAATCCCAGTTGAAATCTCATTGCTATTCCAAAGTCTCCATACACAAGACAAAACAGTAAAAGGGAAACATTATTGTATATCTGACATTTAAGTTAATTTATGTCAATTTAATTGTAGGTTAGTCTCAAGGATAAGAAATCACAAATATAGTCACTCATTTTTCCAATTTGTTTCATAAATAAAATATTTCATCCAATATAACATTGTTTAAAAGTCAGAATTTAAAAAAAAGGCCACCTTAGTATACCTGAGTGATCAAATTAAAATAGCAAGGGACATCTGAGTTCAGAGACAGACTATTCTGCTAAATGGCTCTCATAGGAAGTGTGTTACATAAAATTAGATAATTGAAACCAAAAAAAAAAAAAATTTAATAAAATAATTTTAAACATTAAGCTGCATGTTTTTTTTTGTTATAATCAATCTTCATGTTTCATTTAGTTAAGTTCAATCTCTAAGATGAGTCTCAGAGCAAATTATGATACATTTAACAAAATCTAGTCGCGCACTTTACCTAAACTATTGTTTTCATCAGAGAGTTGCATTTAAACAAATATAAATAGCTTAATACCATCAACACCTCTCATACTTACGCATGTAGTCCTCAGATCTACCCCCCTGGGAAGTGCTAGGACCCACTTACATGTTTTGATTAAATCAAAAAGTGTTATAAAAAAACAAACAGAAAAAAAAACACTGAAATTTAACAAAAGAGTATGATAATTGAACAAATAAAAAAAACAAGGTTAAATTTTTTTACAAACTTTAAAATAAAACATGCTAAAACTCTGTAAGTATGTTCTTTAATAATTGAAAAAAAAATGAAAACATAATTATCTACAATAATTCATGCAAAATTACTAAAAAATTTGATTAGGGGGTATAT